CGCGGAAGATGAACGCGTCCCTCGGGCGCTGTGGAGCAACGCGCAGGCGCGGCCCATCCTCCCGAGGGGAGGCAGCCGTGGGCAGCACGCATGCGCGACACCCCTGCCGACCGGAGGAGGCTACTGCGCATGCGCACTAACTCCCTTGAGGTGGTGTCAGGGGAAGGGCGGTGGTTAAAAAGCCGGTCAGGGAGGGCGCGAGGAAGGAAGGTGTCGCGTCCTGCAGCCCGCTCTGTTGTGAGGCGGCAGGGCGCAGCTGCCCTCACGCCAAGGGCAGCATTTCCCTCAGGGTTCCTCCCTCGGCCCTATGCCGGGTAGAGAGGGCAGCTGGAGCTGCGCTCGGTAACGGAGCAAAAGCCCGGCCAGCTGCGGCAGGGGAGCGTTACTGCACTCGTTAACCAAGGATTCAGCTTTGGCCACGTTAGTCTTCAGCTAGATGTGGAGAGTTAGCTCAGCAAGGGGGGCTGACAGGCACCAGAACATACACTAGAGAAACAGGTCCCACATTTCATACCATTCATGCAATGTGCTACAGTCTTCTAAACCATGCCACAATAAAAAATATCTTCTGCAGAGGGCACATCATTGCTGTATCATAGAATCACAGAATGGTTTGGGTTGGAAGGGACCTTCAAGATCATCTAGTTCCAACCCCCTGCCATGGGCAGGGACACCTTCCACTAGCCCAGGTTGCTCAAAGCCTCATCCAGCCTGGCCTTGAAAACATGATTTTTTTCCCCAAGGTACACAGACAGATTTTACACACCTTCTTTCATTTCTTCAACCCTCTGCATTCAGGTTAGAGTAGGAAAATTCATGAAAGAAGGAATTATCAGGTGCACCTTCAGAAGAATTTAAGCCCTCTTTCTATTCACATGTTCTCAGCTAAAACATTGTACACAGATAAATCAGACTGATTTCCACTCAGATAAAGTTTTAACTAGTAAACATAACTTTAAAATGAAAACCAGAAGTCTTACATAAAATCAATTCTATTTTTATTCAGCTCTTCAGAGAGTTTTAAGATTGACTACATGTATTCATTAAGCCTTTTCTTTAAAGTCTATCCAAATAATACTGTCCATTTTAAAATAGGTAAGCTATCCAGGTAAAAAAACAACCAACCACAAATAAAAAACTTGCCGTATTATCTTTGGAAGAAAATGTCACGTAATACATGTAAGAGCTTGAATATTTACATCTCAACTCCTTCAATATCTCAAACTCAACGTTTCTTAAGAAACGGCACTCAGAACTGTAGTCAGTTATGTCTTACTGAGGTGTAGCCACACTGGAACGGTACCTAGCTAGAGTCTACTAAGCTTCAACACAATAAAAATAGTCATACTGAAGAGAACACATAAAAACCTGGTATTTTGGTTTCAAGTTATGGCAAGCCTCATGGTAAACAACTGCATTCATACCACAGATTCAAAAATATCCTACTTGGACAAAATGCTTTTTCTGGGTTAGCAAACTATGCTAACCTGAAAAGTCAACAGATAACCTATCTTGCCAGTATTTTCTGGAATGCTACAATTACAGAAATACCATAACAGTGGAAATAAATAATATAGCCACAGCCCATGTTTTCAGAAACACCTGTTTGGCTGCAGCACATATGGAAACACACACACATATGGGGTATTTATACTGACACTGTGCACCCACATATAGATTGCCTTATTGTAATGATGTTAGATTTATATAACGTCCCTCAGTTTACTAACATTGCCTTCCCAGGACTCACTGATGTGGGAAAGCATACATACAGCTGAAAAAGCAACACTAAATCACTAACAATTCATTAAAATTCTTTAAGTAAATATTTTAGGCCATCACATTACTCAGTTCATTTTTTTTCTTAGAAAAGTGCTGTAGAAAGACTGACTTAAAACCGTATCCTTATGTTTAAGAAACGTATCAAGATTGAGTGGGAGGCAATGTATTTATTTTTACTGCTAACAGAGTGCTTCTCTAGAAACAGCCCTATTCCATGCATGTGGTTCTTCATATGATGACCTGAAGTTATCACAAATGCCTATTTTTATACTCTGTTACTTCCTTGTTCAGTGATTTATTCAAGACAAATAAGATAACACATGACTGTGCAGGGAGAGGTCACAGTTTCTTCTTCTGTCTCTAGGAGGAATATGTCATATGGATTTTTAAGAAGTTGGTTCTCTAACACAGTCTTTAAGAAGCTTACAAACTTTGGAGGCATGCCAGATTACTTTGACAATTTAAACTTGGAAAAAGATGCTTGTTTTAAGGAATTTAAGCCAGGCACTATATTTAAGACAAATCATAATTTTATTTTGGTAATTATTACTAAGTTTTCTAAGAGGCACTTCTGTGGATAGAGCACTACCATTGAAAGATGCAAAAGTATTATACATTTATGACTGTTACTTTATTGTATGGTTATACTGGCAAAAGAAGTAAGATGAATAAAAGCAAAGTTCTACTGAAATGAAAACTTCCAATCAATTCAAAGTAGATTTCTTTGAATTCCTAGAATTAGGAGTCTAAAGCTCTTATTACAAGAGATACTATTGGCAACTGCTCTGTTTTTCTTGTATAAAACATCTGCAATGACATGTATCTATTTATCTAAGTTACTCAAGGCCTTCACGATTTTAACTTCACCCATCTTTACAATAAATGTTTTTATTCCAAACAGGAAAAAGAGCTGTAGGAATTGCATGACTGTCAGTGGCAAAACCACAACTCCAAAATCCTGCCCTCCCTTCTGCAACTATTTCAAGCACCACATCCCTTGTATCTGTGCTACCTTATGTAAACTTCCCAGAAGTACATGGTACAAAATGCTTATTTGTAAAGGCTGCTGTGTAGTGAGGAGGTGCATGTCAGATGGCACAACCCGGCCCTATAAGAATTTTCTAAACATTAAAAAAGCCTGCAGAGACCATTTCAAACTTCCAAATAACTTTCCCACAGAAGTACTGAAAAATGTTGTAAATTCAATCATTGACCAGCTCCTTTATTTTTTATTAATTTTCAGACTCATCAACAATCTGTCTGAAACTCAGGAACTCAGTTTAATCCTATTCAGAGGAAGAGGGACATGCCACGTAAGACGTCTTCAGGAAATAGAGACAAATCCAGTCTCAAATTTTGACTCTACACAATCTAAAACAACAGGTAATGAAAAATCACTCTTATTAATAGGTAGCACAGATAAATGCATAGTAAATGTTGTATGTGTAACAATTGAGATACGCTCAAGAAACTAGTGTCCTGAAGCCCAAACAGTTTGGACTTACTAAGTGCATATTATTAAAAAAAAATTAACAAAAAAACCCAACAACAATGTATGTTAGTTCTCAAATGATGCTGTCAAATCCATTCTCCATTCCTTATCCCTCTCCAAAATATGGCTTGCAGCCACATTTGTAACCATTTCCTGGCTGGCTGCCTCTAAGTACAGTTCAGTGCATTCACCACGCAACCTCTTGCTAGGCTGAGACTCTAATGAACTCTTCCACGGTTGGGCTTCCAGTACTTGCACCGTTTTTAACATCCTGCCACCCATTTCCCTATCATAATGAAGATGTTTTCAGTTAACCACCGGCATGCCACCTGTTAGTGATTTACTGATAAGATCCTTCTGATTATACAGGTGGAAAGTATTAGGGCTTTTATTCTCCTAGACCAAAGAACTAAAATACTCCTTTCTCTCACTGTTTGACCCACTTGTCAACCTGAGGTTACTACCCCTCTAAGATGGACAACACAAGCAAGCAAATACCAGCATCTCAGCCCCTGCAGTGCACAGGTCAATGTAAGGAGTCAAACACACATTCTCCAGCAGCTTGAGGCTTCTCACCAAGCAGTATGCCAAGTAATTGTTCATTGAAGGGTGTGATGAACAGCTAGAACACTAAGCATTACGTTTAGGAGTAAGGCTCTCTTAAATGTAAGGGAAATGCTTTGATTTTAATTTACAAATTATTCTGATGCAGATCAGATCAAGAAGTGTGCATCAGTACCCTATGAATATTAAAACAGCAACTATTGCTTATAATCAGTCTTTGAACTGCAAGCCTGAAAAACTTTTGTTAATGATGGTTATTCTTGCAGCATCTACCATGGCAACTTATACCTTTGTGATCCTGGCATCTCTTTCAGGGGAAAGGTCACCCCTCAGAAAAATCTCAGAGCTTTGAAATAGCTGAGCACTCTTTCAGAGTATTTATACAGTTCAGATGTTTGCTGCACTCCTTTCAAATCTGTTAAAAAAACCCCATCACCTAAAGAGCATTAAAACCCCAAGCAATGTACCTCCTGGAAACCAACAGATTCGACGACACATAGCAGTAGCAGCATAGGTAAATGGGGTATGTTTCTGAATCCTTCTGTTGTTTCAAATAAATACATCCATCAAAAAATCAGCTAGAGGCAGATTAATGGAATAAAAGGTCCCTTCGGAAGTTGTACATCTTAAGGGATTAAATACCTTAGCCTACAGAAATCAATCCCTTGTGTAAGTGGAGGGGACGACAAGAAGGAACACAACTGGTGTACTTGCTTGATGAACACTTACAAAGATTTATAAGAGCTTTACAAATGGATTAAAGAAGAACAAAAGTATCAATGAAGTCTAACCAAAGTAATGTTCTCAGTTAGCCCTTTAGTAAAGAATCAAAATCCAAGTCAAATTTAAAAATTTAAATAATTTAACCTACATTAAAACTTGAAAACAGAATAGTACTGCAGATATAGAGGGATACCCTTATTCCATCCAAAACATAAGAATGCAAAATATGGGCTAAAAAAAAAAATTCTGGAAACTGACATCTGGTGAATAAAAAACAAAGATACTGGCAAAAGCAGAGAGGAACTGAAAAGATTTACATCTGTTTTCAACAGTGTAAAAGAAAGCTTTGGCATTTGCACCACTGTAGAATGTGAAGTCTCAAACAAATCAAACAGGCCTTTTAACCAAATCTGTTATGAAATACATTAAAATTTAAAAAGTTAAAACATACCCAAGTATTATTCATCGTATTATGCAAACATCTAAAATGCAAAATTTGGCTCTGCAAGTCGGACAAGGCACTTGGCTTGACAGCCAGGTCTCTGGGTGCTGCTGATCCTGCCGGCTGGCAAACCATTTGCCCATGCAGGTGAGGCACCACATGGGACGACAGTAGCATTGCTGGCATTCCCCTTCGTTTGGCTCCTGGCAGTTCTTGATGAGCTTGATGTTAGCGATAGTCTGCATACACCCTATGCATGGCTCCAGCTCCTAAAAGAAGAGAAAAACATCAAAATTAGGAACTGCACAGAATGGTTTCTGTTATTGCTCTTCAAAGGCATTTAGAAAATTATCTTCGCACAAACACAGAAGGAACCTGAGTTGGGCAGACCTTTAAGGCAGAACTGCCCCACCAGAAGATACCAAATGGCTTCAATCTCCAGAGCTGTGTTTTATCAGAACACCCTCTAATGAAGGAGAACAAAATATCTCTAAACAGAAAACCCAGAACTGCTGCATGAGGCCGATTAAACATAAAAGACTGAAAATAAGTGTTCGTTCTCCTTCTGAAGAGCTCCACCTGTTTCCAGAGCACACACAGAGTAAGGTAAGGAAGCAGCCACCTTTATAATTCAGACATGCTATTTTTCAAAAACCATACCAATATAAAGAAAATAAAAGCAAACAGTTCTTACCACTTATTACAGCAAATGGCTGTTCCTGTCTTCCATGTTTGTAAGTAAGAGACATAAATAACAGAGGAAATCGGAACTGAACACAATGGGCACTCATCTTGAAGGACCAGAAATTTGCTTAATTTTTCTTGGATAATATTGGGATAATTGATATTTCCCCACTGTTAATTATGCCACACGAACTTGCAGTTGCATATAGGGAGATCATCTTGCTATGAAGAGTTTTGCAATTAATAAATTACAATTAGCATCTCCCATGTGGCTTCCAACCAAAGCTTCCCCAGAACTTGACAAAACTTCAAAAGACAGCACACTGAACAGGGACGGAGACCTGAATCCTATTCATACTGCTATCGGTGGAACAAAAAGCAGCTCTGCTTTGCGGTCTCTAGTTCCACCTCCAGTGTCTCTTCACTTGTCAGATCAAGCATCTGTTCAACCACACTGGCAGCTGACTGGGGCACGGATCATCCATCTGTGCCTCTTTTCACCCCCATCATTTTCCCCAACCAGGTTCAATGCAGACAAAGTGTTCTGTTAACATGGGGATGAGGAGAGTGCAGGAAGCAGGACTGCTTCCTTGAGAAGCTGCATCAGCTTTTAGCTTGTGAAATTAGGGATTACTTTAGTTTTTAGGCAGGAAAAACTCTAGCATAAAAAGGTTAACTAACTTTTTCAACTTATTTATGGAGCTTCAGAATAGGGAAAAATCCCGTGTTGTATTTTTGATGTCCATATCATAATTTCCGATGTTATTTATCACTCTATGTCAAACCAAAATTCAGTAGCTCAGCTGACACTTAAATGTGTCGCAAATTAAAAGCCCTGCAAGAAAGCAGCTCTCTCAGACACCATATAAGCTGCATGACACTACCAAAGATACCAAGTACTCACTCCATTAGGTAGAACATCTGACACAGACTCGCTGTGAGGTCACCAGAACTAGTTTAATCAGTTACCTCTGGTACATTGAACAGTGCTCTAGTCACATATACAATTGCTGCACAAGTATAATAATGACCAGGTCTCCACAAATATTACTGAAGGAAGGACTCCATGGCATTATTTACAATTAAACCAAGCCCCAATTAAGAATAATTAATTTATTTCAGCAGAAGATCCAGCAAAACCTGGCTGTCTAGAAAAGCAAGCTGTAATGGAACAAACTGCCTAGAGAATGCAACAACAGCTGTGATTCTAGCTCCCCATAAACTTTCTGGAAATGTAACCTCACCATTTCCAAATGTTTTAAAGTAAAATTTTTTATGGAAATTATTATAGGGAACTTTCTTCCACTATACTATTTCTCATGTCTCAAAAAAATCTAATGTTCACAATACAGTTTGTCTCCTCATAGAAGGAGCGTAAGCAGCAGCCAGAACTACTTTTATTACATTTACTGAAATGGATGGTGAGCCCTTGTGACGAATGCACCTGCCCTGAGTGACCAGCACTTTGGTTCAGGCATCACCGACAAGCCAGCCTGACTGGAGTCGGCCCTGCTGTGCAGACCTTGAGAAATTGCGCTAGGCCCCTAAGTAAAGGATTATCAATTACACAGTAATCACAGGCTCACCTATATTGAAAAGTGTAATTATTACAGTCTCACATGGATAGAAAGTCTCACCTGAGTGCTTGGAACAGAATATGACTGGTTAATTTCCACCAGAGATGTAAAGGTTTCGAGAAATAAATCACTAAGGCTTTGATGGATCACAACATTAGCTGCATTGCTGATGGGAGCACGGAGCTTTTCTCGGAGCTCCCCATACTCTGTGGAGTTCAACCTGAAGAAGAAAAGATGGAACAAAATGTTACCATGATTATCCATTCGAATACCTTGATAGTACATTGCAGAGGTTAACGTCAAAGAAGTGAACCCACAGAAAAGCTATGTAGGTTGGTACATACTAGTCAGCATAAATACACAGTGAGTATTTTGTTTTCTTTTGCTGAAGTAATCCGCATGAACAAAAGCAATACAGATACACAAGTCATGCTTTAACTGTAAAGTACTGCATGCACAATTTTTATTCACCCTTTTAATGCCTATTTGTCTAAATTCTAGTTTAAACTCCTGAGGACAGAAATTTGAGTTATGTCACTGTTTCATGTATCACATGGTGATATAGTACATCAGAAGAATGTAAGTCCGCACCAGTTTCTGCGATTTTATTATATAATTTTAGATAAAACCTGAAATTTCAGGTTACAAACAGCTGCTGAATGTGACTTACACTTTCATTTAAGGCTGTAGCAAGCTGCATTTCAAACTAGGTTGCTTCTGCTAAAGTAAGTCTCTCTAAGCGAGGCCCACAGACCTCAAGTGCCACATGAGACCTTGTGCAGATCCTGCAGTGACACATCACTGTTGTTACCCCTTTTTAATATAACAGTTCTGAACTGTAGATTCAGAACTCCCCGGCTCGATGTTTCCACTCGTTAAACAGCTTTCATGGAGATGCGCTGGGAACATCGCCCTGAAATTCCTCATTCTTCCCACCACTTGCTGAGTTTCTGTAGCCCAGTGCAATGAAATGTGAGCGTAGCTTTAGCTCCCGGTGGTCTCCATTGTTTTAACTATTACAGGATAATGTTGTTTGTTACCAGATACTATCTGAACCAATAACAGAGACCTTTGTATCCAGACGAAAAATACACATTGAACATGCAGGGAAATGTGTCCTGCCTACACAAAAGCATTTTTCTTCCTGAAACATCCCACTGTATCTTAAATCTGTTTCTGGATATATACAATGATCCTATATCCTTAATAGGGGAATTTTGTCCTATAGCACTTTTCTTAAATCCTGTATGACTGCATTCTAGCAGAGATTTGCTATTTCTGACTCATCTTCTTACAAGAACTTTTGAACACTCTGCTTGGTGCTGTTCTGTTTAGCCACAAATTAAAATTTTGGGGTTTGGATTTTTTTCCCCTAAAAGGAACTGCCAGAGAAGCCATTATTTTCTCAGCTGGGGATGTAGTTTTATCACTCTGGCACTGAAACACAAAAGAAAATCATCAGTTGTTTAATACTTATTTGGTCACCACTCTCACCGGTCTATAAAAATCTTAGGATTGTCATCCTTACCTTAACTAACCTCTGAGCTATGTTCAGCTAGGTACCTAACACAAACACCTCTATGCCTTCCTCATGCTTGCCAGGACCCCTCTGCTCACCTACAAGTCTGGTGATCTGCCTGCTTTTAATTACCTAGTAAATAAATGCTTCTGACATACAAATTTACAGCAAACAGACACCCAAATGCCTTTTCAATTATATAGTTTTAGGACCATTAGCGTGGCTTTCTGTACTCCTTTAAATGACACAATGACAACAAAGACTTTAGCACCATTCTAATCAGCTTTACAGGTTTCTGCAGAAAGTGTACTTTTGCCTAGCTACATAGAGAGACTGATGAAAAAAATAGCATGGGCCCCCGGAAAACAAGCCCTAACAGTTCACACCATGTCTGCTATCATTTACTGCTACGAGAACACAGAAATGGACCAAAGTCACTTCCTTGCTTTAAGGGCAGTGAGCTTGCAGTAGCTCAGAGAGAACTCTTCTCAGAAGCAACAAAATTATGAGCCTTGAGCAGGAGGGGGGAAAAAAAAAAAAGTCATGGGTGAACAACACCAGTTTTAGACAAATAACTATTTCTCCTCCCCCAAAGTCTGGAAGAGCAAAGATTCTCCCTTTCATTCCTGTTCATCTTTCACCTAAGTTTTTCCAGTTACTGCTTTCTGCATCCAACACAATCCTCTTCCTAAGAATGGATCAAACAGGGCAGTCCCTCTGTTTAACCATTGTGCATTCAATACTGTAGGTGTATGGATCTCTCTAAACAACCTTTCTTCACTGCACTGCATGGCATAATGGTGCATACAGCATCTCTGAACAGCAGGCAGGGAGCAAAAAGGAAGGGATGAGACCCAAAGAGTCTTCAGATCTGCCACAAAAGCACTCCATTAGCACCATCAAATATCATATATATATATATATAGATATATAACATAACACAATAGTTATTTTACCGGATATCAAATGCCTTCACGTAGGGATTATTACTGGTAACGCGGATGGTGAGGAACTGCACAGGCATATTTGAGTCTGGGGTGAGTTCATGCTGTCTGGAGTCAGTCACCGTCAAACGAATGTCCTGCTGCTGCGCAACGTGCAAACAGTAGGTGGTCACTTTAATCACCCACGTGTCCGTAACAATCACCCTTGCACCTGGGGCTCCGGTAGCAAATTTGTCAATTCTCCTAAATTCTGTATTGATGGAAGAAGCTACTGCCTTCCAACCTGACTGTGGGAGAGCATGAACAGCAAGTGTACGGGCTAATGGATGATTATTCCAGCCTTTCCGTGACCAGTAATATGCCAGGGCACTGGTGACTGCTGGAAAGAGAACAGCGAAAAAGAAGAAAGTTTTCCATCCTTTTGAAGCCAGGTAGAAAAAACAAAGATGTTTTTCAGGTGCAGCAAAGCACATACCAAGGTAATAACCTGTAAGGAAGAAGACTTACTTTCAGAAGGCAATTAAGTACATGCATAAACACATAGCCTTGACCCATATACACATACCCTGACCCAACCAGTGAGTTCACCTCCAGCAGAGCTATTGTACTTTTGGATGATAACTCAAATTCAAGTCTTGTCCTAAGCAATCTGAGACAAATGCTTACCTGTCACTGATTTTTAACAGAATTATGTAGATAAATGGAGCTGATTTGAACTTGCAGGTTAAATAAAATTACCTGTAAGATGACACTTAGTATTAGCAGAATTGTATGGCTACAGAAAGCTGATTTGAATTTGCTGATTAAATGCTATTCCTTTGTAATTGCATGTACTCCAATGCAACCAACTAGTTATAAAGTTTAGGGTGTATATTACAAAGAAGCTTGAGAGACACTAAAATACTGATTTCCAAGATGTACAGTGCAATCTGATTCACCCACACCTGCCTGCACCCAGCATACGGACACCACTGGGGAACCCCCTTGCTCCCGCCGGGCACAGCAGCTTCCCAAGCACAGACCTTTGCCTTTCACACCCGCTAGGCCGAGACCTCCCGTTTCTCCCCGGTGACTCTCCCGTGGGGACCCCTCCCCACCACCGGGCCCTCCATCCCTCCCGCCGCCGGCCGGGGCTCACCGAGGGGCAGGAGGGAGTGTGCCA